ATTTTTCGATATTTGAATTCTTTGATAAACCATCGACCTTAGAAAACTGACAACCCTAGTCAATTAAGATTGGAGTCGAGCGCACCTGCCACATGCGGGTTCAAACTCACAACTTCAGTGTTTGCTAGTGATAGAGTAGTTTGACTTCTTAGACCAGTCGACCACCGAAGCACCTGCCTGTTATTCAGTAATTATGGTTAAATTGAATTGTTATAAATTTCACGTTTTCATGTAAGAACCTTTTATAGCTCAATATACGATATGTTTTTTTGTTTTTTTTCTCTTTGTTGAAGGACGTACGTATAAGGTATAAAATTGTATAGTATTCACATGTTTGATGACAAAATGGACTTCATTCATTCGGAGACAAATACAGAAGAAGATACGTCTGTATTTTTTAAGACTTCATATTTAGGATTGAAAAACAGTTCCAAAGCCAGAATCACAATAGATGTGGACAGAAAACTCATTATAAAAACATTCGAACACACAGTAAACAATGGTTTAGACGAGCAAAAGTTAAATCGCTAGCATTAAAAAATATAATCAGTGTTTTATATATTCATTTTGATTCATTGATAAATGTGATTTATGATGAATTTGTTTGATTATGCTATCAAAACTGTGTTGCAACATTATACTTTAAAGTCTCTTTTCTATATTTATATCTATTATTTATACTATTTACCTGTATTAATAGCGCAAATGAAATGTGTTATTTTGGCGAAGATGAACTATTGATTGTGGCGCAAATGAAATATTTTTTTGCGCAAATGAAATGCCAATTGGCGCAAAAAGCAAAGTACCGATTAAAACATCAGGAAAAACTGATACAACACCAACAGATTAGATACATGAAAATGTTGGACCCGTATTTAAAAAAAATCAGGCAAGTACATTATCTACCTATATCACTTACATATACCATCTTAAAACTAAGGGAGCTACCATTTGATTTTTATGGGGGTGCTAGGATGAAAAATTTTGTCCTGCATTTATTTTTAGTTGTAATCTCTGTCCTGCCGTTTTATTTTTCACTCTATTCGGGCCTGCCTTTTTTTATTAGTTTATCCTTACTTTTGTTTACATAAAATGTCATCCTGCCTTTTTTTTGACAAGCTGCTCATCCTGCCTTTTTTTTTTACTCAAAACTCCTGTCCTGCCTTTTTGCTTTCAAATTAATTTCATCAGTCAGGTCATTTGAAACTGAGCTGATTTCATTCGTACGGGAACTAGCAGCAAACAATTCCAACGTACAAACAATATTTATTGAAATGAACTTTAAAACAGATTGACTAAGTCTTTCACCGCAGATTACTACACAAACTCAACTACAGTATGCTATCCTAAAAGAAAATCTGAACTGGCTCTTAACCTTTCCTACAAACCGTACATACACTTGTTTCCTAGATGGACAATCATCTTACATTGCACTAATCACCTCAAGTGTACCTCAAGTTCGTTTTGGTGTCCATTCTTATCTTAAGTTTTATACTAAAAAGTAGCCAAAACAAGCGCGGGAAGAAAGGAAACTTTACAATGATAGTCATAAATACAGCCGAATCATTCTATATATATTTTTTTCTTAATATCAGTTTAGATATATTTACCAGTATATTAGATATTATTATAATTCCAATAATTACCGTTAGTGTTTATCGATTACCAAGGAAATTGAATTTCTTCGTCAGTCTTTAATATTTGTAAAACTGGGTTAGTGCAAACGAAGACAACACTGATAACGTAAGGAAAAAAAATCATCAAAAATCTTAGGCTTATAATAAGTTACGCAAGACGCGCGGAAACGTATTGAGAAAAAAACCAAAAGAATATGTTCATTGTCAATAACAATTGATTAAATACACACTAACAATCTGAAAGGTTGTAATATGCAGCCTACACAACGGTAAAACCCAAATGGATACGTCTAAACATCAAGTACCTTATATGAGTATTGGTGCCGTCCAAAAATTCTATACTGTTTTAAGAGGGTGGTAAAGGGTTATTTTCGTGCAACGTGTTTTGCAAATTTTTATTTCACGTGCAGCCGTGAAAAAGGTTCGTTATTCACCGTGTTTCGTGAAATCGGTAAAAGATCAACGTGCAAGAAATTTTTAATTGTTCGTTCATCGTGAAATGGCAATTTTATTTCGCGTTCTTCCGTGCAGATACCCCCCTTTACGCCCCTCTTTTAAGGTTTGGAGAATTGAGCGTTTTTAACATAAGATATGATAAAGGAGATCTGCACAATCTGAGTTACATCTCTTTCAATATGGGCCACTTGTTTGCCTGAAAATCGGACAATTTCGTTCTATTAGTATAATAGAAATGTCCCATCAGAATATTTGACATCTACATTTCTAATAAACTAAGAATATTTTCAGATAATAGAATAATCTACAAAACGATCATGACCGAAACTATTTGTGCTGCTTTGCTGTAAAAAGGTGGGTTTCCGTCAAGTCAAACGCACAGAACTTGCTGTAATACAAACGAATTCTTCATAATCAAAATATTAAAGAGAGGCGAAAGATACCAAAGAGATATTCAAACTCATAAGTCGAAAACAAACTCAAATAGCCATGGCAAAATCGAAAAATCGACAAAACGACAAACAACACTACACAAAACAACATGGAAGACTAAAGCCTAAGCAATACAAACGCAACAAAAAACCAGGGGTGATTTCAGATGCTCCGGAAGGGTAAGCACATCCTCCACTAGTGTTAACCGTCGTGTTGTTCATGCAAGCACAAACCCGGTGATAAGTCTTAAGCGGTAGGTCACATTGAAAGAAAAGAGGACGGGATTGTAGTTACGAAAATTAGAACATATCCGTCGCCATCTGTGAAATATATTCCATAGCGGTCAACCACTAAACTTCATAAATAATGCAAGATTGTCTTGAGTAATAGATTCTAGGTGCTGGAGTTGTGTATCTGTTTATCTTACTTTAGTTTCCCCGTTATCTGTCTTCGTGCTATTATGTTTCTTTCGGTATTATGACTTTTGACGTGACTCGATATTTGAACATCACGCTATAGGGTATAATTACTTTTGGCGTTCCTGGTGTAGGTGGATCCTGATGAGCGATTCGGACACAAGTGGCTTTTACAGTGTTGTTTATATTTTGTTTACCCTTGCATTTATATTTACTTAATTTTTACTTCATCTAGAATGTGTATATAGTATATACGGTATGCATAATCAACGACAAAACTTTTTTTGTTGACGTCATTATCGGTACACTTTGCTATATACTACATCTTTTTTGTTTGCGTCCTTGTTGGATTGGTTTGTGTGTTTGCTTGGGTTTTTTGGTCAGTTGTGTTGTGTTTCTGTGATTTATGTTTGCACAGTTTTGGCTGCTGGATCCCAGTTGTTGTCACATTGACCAATTGTGTGTGTTTGGGATGCTCACCCATTTTTTTCAATATAACGGAACTATAAAACACTGTCATACAAGTGAGTGTTTTAGCTAGTTATAAAACCAGGGATATCTCACAATTTCGTTCGTAAAAATGCCTGTACCAAGATAGGTTTTTTTTTTATTGTTTTCCTTTTGACAATTGTTTTTTACTTGTATAGTTGATTGATTAAGTTTGTTTTTGTCAGTTTTTTTTTACTTCCTCTTTTGAATTTGCCTTAGAGTTCGGCATTTTTTGTCATACTTTTTTTCAGACAAGTATATCTGTCGCTAGTTTGACTAAAACTTATATTCATGTTAAGGTTGTACTCCAGCAGAAAACACTTAAAAATGTAGATGGTCGCCTCAAAAGTAGACAATGTCAGCTCTCTCCAAAATCGCAGTTCAACTATTCCAGACTCACCTTGTTAACCTTACAACATGATAATTTTTCAATATTTACCAATATCAAAATGTAGGAAGACATCTTCTGTAAATTTAAATCCGTGTTTCTTGCATCAGCTTGTCATTATTACAAAGTTTTTTCTTACATTTAATTAGTTTTTTTTTCACTTCATTTTTTGTGTTGCATGAACTTGTTTTTAATTCACTAACCCTCATCGTTCAAACATCTGAATATATACACATTGTCAACCTATTTCGATGTAAATTGTTTTATTTTGAAATAAAATGCTAAGGCTATCTAGGGTCCACGTGAAATATTTTGTAGACTATAGATATAAGAAGATGTGGTATGAGTGCCAATGAGATAACTCTCCATCCAAGTCAAAATTTATAAAAGTAAACCGATATAGGTCAAAGTTCGGTCTTCAACACGGAGCCTTGGCTCACACCGAACAGCAAGCTTTAAAGGGCCCCAAAAATTACTAGTGTAAAACCATTCAAACGGGGAAAAATATGTATGTTAAGCAAAATAAAGGTACATGTAATTCTAAAACTTACTATTTTCTATAATCTATTATCTCTCTCTACGAAGAAGGTAATCTGATTATTTAATGAAAGTAGACCGATTTAGATTTCTAATATACAGAAAGAATTTTTTTTTTTTCATTTGAGACATTTAAGAAACCTTTCACAATCTTTTATAAAATTTTAATCACTAAAATAACAGTTTAACAAATTCCACATTGAAGTACAAACTTTGAATCAACGTTGAACTGTGGTTGACTTTATTTTAACTTACTAAAGTTTGACTCGGATAAAATGTGCTTAACATGTTATGTTAACGTTAATGCTTAGAATACATTATTTCATTTAGAACGGAAAAGGAATGACTGTTTCTGTATAAAAAAAAACACCATCAAAGACGTCATATACCATATCAAGTTAATAAATTGGAATTTTGTTATATTGCCATGCTTTTATTTACCCTTCTTCCACTTATGATCTTTGGTTGCCATCCTGGTAATTTGTTATTTTATCCACTTTTTAGTAGTCAATGAAAATAGCTTTGCGGAGTATTAGATTTTTGTATGTCACCTTGTTTAAAAAAAAAATGCCTCGAGTGAATGTTTTTTCATGTAAAAAAAATCTTAAAACATTAAAACGGCAATCATAGTAGTGACAGATGTAGTCTTGTTTAAACATTTTATTTACCATTTGAAAACAAAAATATGTAACATAAACGACTAATGATGTCCAGCAACACGAAGAAGAATTATTTTTAAACGAAATGTTCAGACGAACTATTATTTTGATATCAGCTGATGTAATATCGTTTTATTATCAACAATCAACTTCAATGCTATTCATAGGTTCTGGTGTCCAACATTCTCTCCGCTGAATTGGCCGCCAATGTTCATCCTCCGATAGATTCGAAATCTGTTTTGCCTCGCCGTGCCTCGGTTTTGTTGGGGATAAAGAATAGCTAACGGGAGGCAGAGAGCTTATTCCTAACGTGATTGTGTCAAATTCAAATCCATCATTACTAAAGTAGCTACTTTGAATAGTTGTTCTAAAATAAAAACAATTACAACAGTTAAAGATGTATATTTGATAATTTTGTAAAAGAAAAGAATGATATTGAGCGAAGTATGCTAAACGTGTGATTTTATTTATCTTCATCAGGTACAGTGGAGATCAGAAGTTTGGAGGCGATATTATAAAATATGTGGGAGATATAAGTTGTATATTGATGTAATAACTAAAAACAGCAGCTTGAAAAAATTCTATATACCATATCAATTTATGTACCTCTATGACAATATAAGATGTATTACGTTGGCCGTTTATTTTTTATCCAAATAAATTTTTAGACTCTTTTGTGTACAGCAGAACATTGATTTTATCATTTCTACTACGATATGATATCTCTACTTGTGGACTGCAAATCCTTAAGTAATTCGGCACTGGAATGAAAATACGGATATCGTTTTATTGAAATTTGCTGTTGAGAAAAGTTTTGTAAATGATTTAAGGATCTCCCTCATGCATGTATCTTATTCTTCGTTCGTATTTGGCTATACATTTGTCCTATTTTCATTCCCTTAGGTTTTTAATATTTGTATTCAAGTTGGATTTTCAAATATTTTGGTTCGACCATCACTGTAGAAACATTAATTGTCAAAATGCGCATTAGGTGTAGAAAAAGGGGTACCGTTAATTTTATTTCTACATATCAGAAATGAGATTTGAAGATTGAAAAGTTTAAGGCGGCTTCAATTTTCTAATGCTTCCTCTTACGACAAACCTGTTAAGGTACATCAAAATATTAATTATCTTCTGATATACTAATATGTATCTTACACCGATACCGCATGAACTACAAAAGGAGATAGACGGGTGCGTCTTAATCGATTTAATTCAAAATTTCGATATCATGACAATATTGATTGTACCATCCACGACTGCCACTATCTATTAGAGTCAACAAATAAACAAATATATGTGGAATCGAAATATTTTTACGTGTTGCAACTGAACAAGAAGATACCATGATGAGTTTATTTCCAACCACTGGGTCGATGCCACTGCTGGATGAGGTGTCCTCTCCGAGGATCTCATCAGAACAATAGTCGGCACCTCTGTATTGACATGAATTATCATTGATATGGGTATAATTATAGATTAACTGTTTACAAAACTTTGAATTTTTCGAAAAAGCAAGGATTTCTACACCCGAAATTTATTACCATAGACCTATTTTTTTCGAAATAGTACGGATTTCTACACCAGGAATATATTCCCTTAGATGTATTTGGCAAATCTTCTGGAATTTTGGGTTACTGTATGCTCTTCAATTTCGTACTTTTGTTTGCCTTTTTAACTTTTTTATTCAAGCGTCACTGATGAGTCTTTTGTAGATGAAACGCGAGTTTGACGTACACAATTTTTAACATGGTATCTATTATGAGTTTATGTTCATAATCGTTTGAATACTTACATTGTTTTAGAGTTCATTCGAGGCTTGCCAACTTTATCACAGTTACCTTTCAATTTTTTGCTTTCATTCTGTTCAAATCTCTTTTTATAGGATTTGAAAATTCTATAAATAGAAAATGTTACATCCTTGAATATATATGAAACTTATGTGGAAAAATAGTTCTATGTTGGATTTTGTCAAATACAACGCACTTATTTTTTTGTATTCCTGTCTTTCATTTTTGCTTATGTGCTTTGTCCATATGCCATTTTGTTTTTCTTTGTTGCCATATTTGTTTGTTTTTATAGTGATTAAGATAATAACGCAATGTTGACTGCTGTACCCCTATTTTTGACATTTTTACCTATTATGTCTATTTGTTTTGTTCACGCATTGTTGTCAATATAATGAAATTTTATGCGACTGTCATATAAGTGAGAGGTTTAGCTAGCTATAAAACCAGGTTTAATCCACCATTTTCTACATAAGGAAATGTCTGTACCAAGTCAGAAATATGACAGTTGTTTTCCATTCGTTTGATGTGATTTTGCCATTTGATAAGGGACTTTTCATTTCGAATTTTCCTTGGACTTCGGTATTTTTGTTATTTTACTTTTTTTTAAATTGCTAAAACAATTGATAACATTAATTTGAACTGAACTGATGTCGTGTGTGGTTTTCTTCTTTTAACTGATTTTGGGCATTTAGGTTAATAAAAAGTGTTAAAATGAACTCCATATCTTTTATCAACAAAATACTTTATTCAAGACATATATGAAAAACGACCATCTTTTTGTCTAGAATGTTCAATTAATGAAAACTCAATTATCAGAGGAGCGGCACATGTGGGATTATGATAGAGTTATAATGTCGCTAGTAACTGTTAAAAAGGTATTAACCCGATTTTCGTCCTTACGCCACATGTTTTGGAATAACCTTCATTGAGACCAATGGTTTGAAATACATTTGAGAGTATAAATACAAAAAAGGATTGTTTAAAAACGTAGATATTGTAACAATAAAGCAATTGATTATAGCAACCATTGAACTTGTAAAATGTGGAATCCGAAATTTGACAAAACTACAACAAATGTAAAATTTATCAAAATATTATAGAAGAAGCGGTTAGTGCTGAAAATTTGACTACAGGACGAGTGATATTTATCTTTGATATGAATAGATAGATGGAATCATTGAATAATCTAAACTCTTCTTGAAAATATTGAAACATATAAATGTTGTTCTCAACAAACACAATAGTTCTGTAAGCTAGAGCGTAAGTTCCAAATGCAATTTAGATTGGCTAGGTACAACCTATTATCTTCTTTTTTTTAGAATAGAATAAAAGTTAAATTTTTATGCAGTACAACCTGTTATGAAATTCGATTTCATTGTTTCTAAATTAATACGTGACGTGTTGCTGGTTTGCGGTTATCTTTTTATCAGAACACAGTAAATAAATACTAAGTTATGCAACATACCCATTTTGTCTACAAATTACCACATTGACAATCACTATGATGACTAGGATTGGGATACTGATACACACTGCCAAAATAATGCTTACTGAAATAAAAGGGTAAAATATCTTTTAACTTGTATATTTGTGGTTTTACACATTACTATATCATAAGAATCGATCTGATATTTGTTCCCAAATTTGAGTTATCTTTATCATGTTTATATTATATGTCAATTATGTGTCAATATGTCCAACTAACTGTTGTGAAACGTACTTTAATTACAAAAAAATACGGATCAAGAGCTTAAACGAGTTTGGAGTGGAACTGTTCAAGTTCAAAAATTTTTGAATGTTATCAATTCAACGTATAAACTATGATGTGATAGAAAAAAAATCTCAAAAAGTTTAAAATTGTACATTGACAAAAAACACATATATCCCGTACTTTTAATTATAAAGGGACTAACCATAAATCTGTATCGCTAAACAATATAAACAACTTTAAATGCGCATACTTATATAAATGTCTTTTCCTTCAGCAAGCATATGTACTTCTAGATTTTAGCATGGATAATCTCGATAAGAAGAACTTCGTATTCTTCAAAACAACTTCATTAATTCTCATTACTGCTGTTGTCCTCTTTACGTCGTGTCAAAACGCCACTCACTCAACATATTCGAATACGTAAATATATGCACATGTTGATATCAACATACAGCCTCTCATAAAAAAATACCGCAAGAACATTTAATTTGTATGGATTTTTTATTTCATTTGTACAATTGTGCTCAAAATAAAGATGTAAATTAAAAATACTCACACTTATTTTCCTCACTAGATATTGGTGTAGGTACTGAAATATAAAAAATAAAGTTTTATATTTGAAAGGATGAATTGGAATACCAATATACATTTTTGACATATGTCAATTATTAGCATATATTAGACAACAGTAAGCATCATATGCTATTAATAACTCCAATTCCACAACATAAACACATTTATACCTTTTATATTTCCACAGTCAATGTTACCAATTTATAATCACATGATTTATCATTTAAACAGCAAACAGATTAAATGTGTTGAACTAAGTTGCTAGGCAACACGAATTACTTCCAAATCAAATGAAGAGAAACCTTTCAGCATGTTTCGTATGGAAATTTACAAAAAAACGTAAAATCATACCAAATTTCACTTTTATTTGAAAGTCTAAAATATTTCATAAGCCCTTGATCTAACAATATCAATCCGGTTTAAGTGTAAATAGCGAATTTGAAAATATTGTCAGGGAAATACACATAAGAAGAGAAAAAAAGGTCTTTTTGTTAAAAGAGGAGAATAAATACTAAAATTTTATTCATTCATATTTTTGTTTATCATATATACCATTACAGTCATCAATAGATACAGAATCCGTTCCTTCCGTTGTCATTCCCTTAGGACATGAAAAACAGAACGTTTGACCGGTTTGATCTTGATATGTTCCTATAGCACACGACAGACATTCGTCATTGGAATAGTAATGACCAATGCTACAAGGCACTAGAATGAGAAGCAAAGAATTTCAAATTGCATAGAATGCATATATAAGGCATTTGGCAATGGTTACATTGTATTGTGTAATTATGAACCTACCTGCTTTCAGATATAATATTTGATGTACGAAAGAGTATAACAAAAATCAATACCGATGCAAGAAATCTAAATTTAATTTTGACAGTAAACTTGGCAATTATCTTGAATTTTAAAGCAAAATTGACTTTTAATGAGACATAATCTACTTGGAACAATACCATATTTTTTTAAACACGGAGACGTGATTTTTTTTCTTGAAAGAACCATCAGAAGGTAATTTCTATAGCTATCTTTGGACAATAGTTTAACAGTCGTTGTCTTTAATGGTATGTGAGGGAAGGACTTAGATAATTATCAACTCATGGGTATTTATAGTTTACCAAATACATAGATATGGTGTATGATTACCAATGAGACATGAATTAACCAAAGACCAAAGGACAATACATCTTTCGTTTTATATAGTTTGAAATTGTAAGTACACTTATCTCAAGTGTAACAATTTTGAAGTGAGCTTTTTAACAGGTTAAGTTTTGTACTCTAAATGTAAAGTCAATTAATAGTTTTTTTTTAAATTAACATTTCTTTTACACTAAATGGACATCAAATTTTCCATTAAATAAAAATGAAATTGAATTATCCTTCCTATGGTATATTCTCTCCCTTTTTATCGACATTTCGTAGGCGTGAATAACTTATTTTGACTATGAATTAGTTATTTACTCAAAAACCCGTAAAGACGTACATTTTTACATTTTTTTGATACCTTGCACACCCTGCAGCTTTAATACAGGTGTATTAAGGTTACATAAGTACCACAGGATTTCCGAATTTACAAATCTAAGGCTATATTAGTAGAATATCATAGATTCAAACTAATTAAGTGTCACTGGAAAATAAGTGTGTTGGAAAGTGTCAAAAATAATGCCGTGCAACTGGCGACATACGGAAAACACAAAGGGCTGTTGGCAGTATTCTTTAAAGTGCATGGTATTTACCCTACATGGGTCTTTTGGGTTTAATGTCTCCATTCCGACCGCATGCAGCTTATATCATATATTCCACGCATCCATACGGACGTCCTTTTTTATCATAGTTTTTATTGACCGATGGGAGAAATCCAGGGATGACCATATTTCTATACCCTAGTCAACCCATGGTCTGTTCTGAACATTAAATTAGCAAATGATTTGGATGCCGGTACGTGTGGGAAGGCGTTTTAGAATTAGTGTAAAACCAATAATAAGAACAAATTTAAAGGAGAGCAAATTGAAATAACTTAAAGAATCATATGTAATGCAGAATTACCTTCCCGTCCGTTTTCCATTCTGTTTTCTAAAAACAGAGAAGATCGCAACATATCGTTTCTTTATCATAAAAAGATCGAAAGCTAAGTTTCTTGTAAAATAATTGATTGAAAAGGAAGATTCTATATGGAGAATCTTAACTCATAAGTCGAAGAAACACCGACAAAAATATGACAAAAAAAAACGAAGGAAATAATCGACGAAAAGACAAACAACAGTCTACAAACACTGTATATAGTGACTTGGTCAAGATACAGATTGTTGTATGCAAAAAGTGAAGTAAAAACAAAATGTCAAAATAACTGTTTCTTTCATAGCGATAGCTATGAAAAATAATTACCGCAATATGCAATAAAAGGAATTGTTCCGGATGGACAATTTAAGCTGCCGTCTGATGAAGAACTATTCTGTACAATTTTATATATAATACTATTGTGTGGAAGATCTAACTCATTTCGATTTTCCAGTTCTTCTAATTCTTTAACAGCGTCTTCTAATGCGTAAAAACAGGTCTCTGTTCCGTCTGAAATTTAAATTGCTTCTATTATACATGAGTAACAATCATACGTACTTAATTATATTTTTATATTCAATAAAAATATGTTCATGTATTGAAGTCGTTTCTTTTGTGATATCGCCTGGGGGCTTTTTTCCTGACTTTGTAAAGATTTTATCATAATATGATATAAAGAATCATGCTCATGTCCTTTTTGAGGAAATACCTGTACCAAGTCAGGAATATGGCAGTTGTCTTCCATTCTTTTGATGTGTTTGAGCTTTTGATTTTGCCATTTGTTAAGGGACTTTCTGTTTTTAATTTTCATTGGAGTTCGATATTTTTGTTATTCTACTTTTTAAAACTATTTCTGTAGTGACATAGATAAAGAGTTTTGTTTAAATAATTTGTTCTGTTCATTTGGTTACTTATAATAAGTGACTTACGTGTAGTGGTATCACATGTTAATTTTACTGTAAAACCAACAAAAGTGCTAGTGTCTCGTTTCTTCCGTGAAATACCGCAATTTATAACCTCATTGCTTGACATGGTACACATGTTTGATGTCACACATGTAAGTTGCTGTGTAGCTGACTCAATTCTAGCCGTTATTTTGTTTTCGATATCAGCAGTGGATGGCGTATCACATCCCCCCAAGTCGTAATGCGCTGTATGATCAACGTGCATTTTGAATGAATGAACAACCTCTGAAATTAATATAAATCATTTTCAAATATGCGTGTAAAATATTTAATCATGATTTATAAAAAGTATAACATCAATTCTTTTAATTTAGTCATGCTGTCGTCTGACTATTCCGCCTCTGTATAATCTTTCAATTTTTAATAGATAATAGAGTAAATCTGTAGTTGGGCTTTCATAAATTATAACTAATATGAATATGTGTTCACAAAACATCATGTCTCGCTCGCACAATCTCATTTTAATGTTCAGTGATCAACAAAATCTGGGTCCAAATCATTTTTTTATTTTATCATAATGACAATGTGTACAAAGTTTCAAGTTTGTTCATGCATTTATATGACCATAAATTCATGATTTACCATCAAACTCCAAAAATAACATAATATTGAACGAACGTACGGACAAACGAACAGACGCACAGACCAGAACACATAATTCACCCTATCAACGTCCATGTTATAAATATTTTTGAGGATATCACTTCAATTTACTAATTACGGTTACTTTAGCAGACAATGGATATTAACCGAAGATCTGTTTTAAGTAGCATGTGTTTTTTTCAAATTGGAGGTGAAAGTATATTTAAATATGTGTATGTAAACTTATAATTACTTTACAATGCAATTATATCTATACGTATGATATGTACACTCCCAACAACCGATCTGATTACCTGTACAATATGGTAGTCGACCATACGGGTTATTATTCGTCTGAAAGTCCCAGTAGTAATATGTTTCGTTTCCGCAAACATATTCGTCCTTCACATCATGGTCATAGTCAAATCCTTCGTCGCAATTTAGTACACATGTTATTGTGTTGCTGTTGTTAACACATATCAAGGAAGAGTTACTTGGTTCAACTAGCTCTGTGCATTCTATAAGATATAGTGAGACCATGATTATTTTCTTATGTAATATGACATCGGGACATCATATCATTTAATTGATAAACTTTCCCTAGAAAGTAATTTAAAACGTAAGATAATGATATTACTTAAATGAGCCACACGACGGGTGCCACATGTGGAGCAGGATTTGCTTGCCCTTCCGGAGTACCTGAGATCACCCCTGGTTTGTTATGGGGTTCGTGTTGCTCAGTCTTTATGTTTTGTGTACTGTTGTTTGTCTTTTAATCGTTCTACGTTGACAGTTTGTTTCCGACTTATGAGTTCCCGTTATCATCCTTCGCCTCTCGTCTGTAACAAACAGGTCATTACTTTTGTAAAATCGAAAGTAAAATACGGAATACAAAACAGTTCCCCAATTCTGATTAATTACGACAATTTTAACACCTGATATTAATTTTGACAACTTCATTAACACATCTATGACGTTTTTTGTTCACAAAACACATTGACACGTCGTAAATTGTAGACTTTTTTTTTTATCTAAGCTAAGAAATCAAATATAGAAAACAACGTGCTGACGTAGATTTTATGCTGAACAAAAACGCAAGATTTACTGAAAATATGGAGAAAAAAAACCAAACAAATACGCATGCATTGACATTTTATACTCAACACTGTATTGACAAAAAGACCAGACGGTACCTCTACAAGGTTCTAAGCTGCAGACTTCAATTTCTGTATCTGGTCCTTCACATACTTTTCCTCCATTATCTGGAAGTGGATCTGCGCATGCCCGTTGACGTTGGATTGTTCCGTTACCACAACTTGCAGAACATTCTGTCCAGTTATCCCAGTCAGACCAACTGCCGTCAACTTAAACAAAACAATTATATTCATTAAAAGCAAATGCATCAAGTTCCCTGATCAAAACAATACATTCATAACATTCAATATAAAAATAAGAAGATGAGGTATGATTGCCAATGAGACAACTATCCACCAAAGTTCAAATAAAGTGGATGTAAACATTTCTGCATATCCACATGTCTTTTTAAACATTAAACTTTGTATACAGTCTATTAATACATTATAGATTATAGATTAAGCAAATGATATATTGATTAATTGATGTTTGCAAGATGCTGAGAAAAATACTTAGAATGCTGAGCGAATGAAATGAATTAAAGTTCTACCTGAATTAAGGTTACCATTTTGATATGAGTAATTGACAAGGATGTCTTCGGAAAGTACTTACCCATTGCAACTTCGCATAACTCTCCTGTATACTCATAGTCACATGAACACGAATAATCATTGACTTCATCTATACATGTTGCATTATTTTGGCAGGCATGTGCAACACAGTCATCAATATTTATATCACATTTACTGCCCGTAAAACCAGTATCGCAAGCGCAAGTGTATCCTCCAAGTTTGTCAGTACAGTTTCCATTCACACAAGGATTTATTTGACAGTCATCATAGTCTGAAACAAAATAACCAAATGACTAATTGAACTGAATTCAATAACAAATTTCAAAAGGAACACGCAAAAATTCTCCTTTACAAGAAACAAAATTTATAATACCATTTCCAACTTTTTTTTTTAGGATACATCTGAATAACAGCTTTCAGAAATTGTCAATATGAGCGATAGCTTATGATATTTTGTTTTTTGTTGTTGACATATTTGTTTTCTTTTTAGTGATTAAGATAATAACACAATGTTGACTGCTGTACCCCAATTTTTGACATTTTTACCTATTGTGTCTGTTTGTTTTGTTCACACATTGTCAATATAATGTCATACAAGTGAGAGGTTTTGTTAGCTATAAAACCTGGTTTAATCCACCGGTTTAATCCACCGTTTTCTACATAAGGAAATGCCTGTACCAAGTAAAAAATATGACAGTTGTTTTCCATTCGTTTCATGTGTTTGAGCTTTTGATTTTTGCTATTTGATAAAGGACTTTCCGTTTTGAATTTTCCTTAGAGTTCGGTATTTTTGTAAATTTTTTTCTTAAGGACATAAATCGACTCTGACGTCATTTAAGTATTTGACATAATCGATCGGTTAATTGCTTGTTGGCATTAGATCTTTTTTAAGCACACATGATTTTATAATGGCGGCCAGTTTTTGTTTTTGTTGTTTGTGGAAGCCGGAGTTCCCACGAGCCGAATTTGAACTCAGAACCTCAGTGTATACAGACTAGTGGTCACTGTAGATATATTACTCAAATCTCTTGGCCATTGAAGCCTTGTTCTGTAATAAAGGAGATTTGCCAGATCAGTAAAAAACAGTTGTAGTCAAAAAATTGTGTATTTGTTTATGACAAACTGTACCACTGTAAACACATACATAAATAAATAAAATAAGAGAGAATCTACATCTATTGAGCTAAAATAACACATAGTCCACATAAATCGGTACCAGAACAAATAATTCATAATATAAAACCTATTTAAGACTGCGAAAAAGTGATTCTGGAACCTGCATTTTTCGAAGATTTATATTTAAGTTGCATGAAAATTGAAATGATTCCACCTTAATCGTTCATTCTTAAAATATGAAAGTGCTCAAATTATATCTGATTCTTTCAAAGTAACTTTGTTGCAATATGGTTATAAATAACCAACAGCAAATTAATTAATACTTGCCATCACATTTGGAGGGGATGTTAATGTAGCCATTTATTAAATTGCTATAAGCAAACTCATTCCAATTGACGATTCCAGAAGGCACACCTTCACTATCGCATTTCGAATACAAATGTTCATTATTTGTGTACTCCTGCTGTGAAACTATGCTAAACTGTGAAATGGCTCCTATAAAGTCATCTCCTGAAGAAGAAGAAAAATCATGTTTGCTGTTCTCTTGAATCATGTGTATTTCAAAATAAAGGTCTACCTAATGTGAACAATAATTCACAGCGCAAAATAAAAAGTTAGCAATGGAAATGACATTGAGTTTGTCCTTTAGAAATGTCAATCATGTAAGGTTTCATATATGTAAAGTGTTCATTATTTGTCTTAACTTTTTATCTACATGATTTTAATTGTATTTACTCACTTTATTGGCAATGAATTGATTGTGTGACTGGGGTTTAACAAAAATCATTTGCTTTAAAAACGTTTCTTGATTTCATATCTTTTCTATACTTAAACCATTGAAGTTGAAAACGATTTTTGTCTTTTTAAGTTTTCTTAAATCAAATAAATACATCTGATTCAATGCTTCTAGACAACAAAACATTTAGGAATGATTTAACCAAATTTATTTCAGGTACAATTTTAGCTAAAGGCACCTGACGAACTGCGTATTTCTTTGACCGAACAACTAAAGACATTCTAAATAAAGTTTTATTTGCCATTTACCTACAATATTGGACCTACCTCCTAAAGTAATATTTAAGTCAACATTTTGAGAAAACTCTATGTTGTTTTCATATGCTTTATGCATTTCTCCATCCACAAATGAGGAACTCTTATTTCTTCCAATATGTAATGAAATGTGAAACCATTTCTTTGAAAATTCGAGACTGTCAAAAGCAACATGCGTGTTTCTGTCAAAATAAAATTAAAAAAAAACCACATACACATGTAATAATGTTTGCGTTTTAAATAAGCACCAACAATGCTTAGTCGATGTGCGGTGAACATTTTTTTTACCCTTACCAAATTCGACTCATTTCCGCTTTTAATTCGCTGTAACTTTCCATGGCCCCCAATATAGCACCGATTTTGATCAGGGTTCGTCAAGTTGATAGCTTTAGTTTTGTGCTCAATAATTTTATTTCGTTGATGTTTTTTTTTATTGTGTTTGCCTGTTTTTCGTTGTTTTTTTTCATTTCTGTTTTTTTTTTTTCTCTGCTTTTGTTTGTTTTTTTTTTATTATTCGATACATTTTACAACTTGTTTAACCACAACATACTGAATTGAAGCATACTTGCAAAAAACGAAATGACAGATTCAGGCTTACGTGTTGATAGTAAACAAACTAGAAGTCAATTCTATGTGGTCAGATGCAGAAGAAATCATACGAAAAAACGTTCCCTGACATGTAGTTTGACATTGTATATGAAAAGTCACCACAAATGGTTTTTGAAGTGAAATATCAGTAATTTGCAGCTCCGTGTAGGCAGGTTCTGTGCTGTTCGGGAAAACAACATCATAATCTGAAGAAAAAAACATTTAACATGATCGATCTCATGCATATGAAAAATCAATTCCTTTGGTAAAGCTTTGTTTAAAATCTTAATACATTATATATCCCTATAAATGTAACATTCATGGTTTAGTTACCTTCTTATTCATCCCAAGTTTGAATAGGTAAATCTGCACTACACTTACTTCGACTTGAGTTAAGATAGTAAATCTGAAATTGCATGTATCATTGACTTAACTTTTTAATAAGATAAACAAATTTCGTTAACGGTTTTGTCATAAATCAAGCTGCTGATTTTTTGTTTAAATTGTTCCAAATTTGACATGTCGAGGCCTTAGTTGACTATAAGGGATGGGGCTGGCTCACTGTTTTGGCCTTACGGTGACGTATAGGTAGTCAAAATGGCATTTGGACTATGTTGGATAATTGTTTCATTGGCAATCATACCACATCTCCGTATTTTATATTAATACAAAAATGAGGCGATGTGGTGTGATTGCCAATGAGACCACTTTCCACCAGTAGTAGGCAATTATAGCCCACTGTTAAACCACCCTAAATCCGTATTTATTCCATTTTATTTATATCGAAAAGTGTGTTCAAATATAGTGACTGTTCTTGTTGATTTTTGTCATCAACAATTGACCAAGTATCGAAATTACTCAAGTTCTGATTTACGAAAATAAAATTAAAAAATAATGGCAAAAACTCTTATATCTTACCAACGCAATATGACACATTGTCACTTTTTTCCATCAATGTAATATAATTTCCAGGACATTGTTTACAGACCGTAGAACCATAGTTACTCTCATAATAACCAACATCACATTCTACACATGGTGGGACACCAGTCAAAGACCAGGTTCCAGGCTTACAGGCATCTACAATACAGCACCTATAGCAAAGTTTCTTTTATACAAGCGCATATGACTTTTAATTACTTTTCACTTTGCAAATAAATATGAGTGATTTTATATTTGTTTATTTATTTTTATTCATTTTTGTTAAAAAAAACAGAACCGTTAGTATTTCAAGCCATTGAATAATGTGTGTCTCCTTAATTTCCGACTTTTGGGAACTTTTTATCAAAATATTAAAACGCGAAACTTTTTTTCTAGCGACTTTGAGTATCCCAGTTCTCAAATACTTTCTTAACCGTTCTTCAGTTATTACAAATAAGAGTACCTTCACACTCCAATACATCAATAGCTCCAATTCTTGCGGTTGTTTGGGTAAAGGGACAAGGGGTACAGTCATCCTGAGCAGAATGTGGTTGGTATGAACCTCTGAAACAGGTACTACAGGTTTTTGAACTGCCGTCATAAAATGTACCAGGTGGGCATTGCACTAATAATAATAAAGAAATAAAGAAATATTTAAAAACAAAATCAGTAAGATAGGATAACAACTGCATTAAAGAGTCTATAATAATCATGGTTATGATGTTTATAGAGTATGTAGATTTGAAAGATAAAAATAGGCCCAAATACCTTTTGATATAACTACATAATGAAAATTTATTACCTATTTCAACAGATTTTTTTAATTTATAAAATTCTGCAAAATAATACCTTATAAATTTGGTGTGTCTGCAGCGCTGGATTAAGATTCATTAGTAACGCTCAAAACCAATTCTTTGAGTGCCAGGGTTGAATAAATATTCAAGATGCTATATAACCAAAAAAGCCTAAAAGGAATATCAAAACGGCAACTTTACCTAAGGAAGTTGGAACCTTAGTTTCTTAATAATGTCTAAATTTATAAAAGAAAGTTTAAAATATATAGGTTATAAATCATGTCATCGGCGAAGCTGGGTTTGTGATACCATTATTAACGAATTATCAACTAAACACGTCGCAAATGGTCAGTCCACTTACCGCAGGCAACTATAGTACTGAATACAGGAACAGAATTATCAGGACAATCTAGTTCTAAGTCGTTTGCTGTCATTTCGAGAAGATGAGCATGCTGGTCATTTATGACGAGAGTAAAGTTGTCTGATTTTAGTTCTGTCTCTAGAGAATTCATAAATTCAGTAAAAGTATTCACTTCAGTTTCATATTGCTGTGATGTTAGTGTACCATTTCCAGACTCGAAAGATATGTCTGTATTTATAATCATATTATCTGTTGATCTTTTCTTTGATGTTGTTGGACAAATTACCTGTATGCAGAAAGTTATACAAAATCTCATTAATAATATAATATCTAAAGAGAAGAAAGTTGCCTCAAGTGTGCAAAGCAATACGATGAAAGCAAATATATGAAGCTGCGAATCAATCGATACTGCACATGTGTATGATACTAGTATCTCAAGTAAAACTATTTTTTTCTAAAAAAAAAAACACCTGGAGCCTAGTTTGCAATTCAAAAACAAATATTGCAATTACATGCCCTAGATTGGCCTTTACATATATTGTGAAAAAACCTTTTTTGCATATGATACCATTTTTGCCAACTTTTGCCATCATCTTGTTTATTTGAAAATGACAAAAGTTTTAACACAAATACTATGATGTCAACTTTGGTCAGTAATAATTAAACGTGTATGTGTTTGTGTTGTGTTTAAATGAAATACCTTGACGTTTCCAATATTGCATTCAGGAGTCATGCACATTTTCTTTACTAGAAAGGAATTGGAATTTGTTATTGCAGTCATATATTTTTCCTTTATCTCGGCCTGAGTTGTTGGATCGTTGCAGTTTCCCGTGAAATAGAACTCAGCTTCCATAGTAACATATCTACGTCTGGAGTTTGATGTATCTGCCAAAAATGAACAATACTTTGCATAGTTAAGCGGATAGTAATTGTTAACGTACATGTACCATATATGTCCGTTATATTCAGTTACAAAGTCATGTGAAAGTATGTAATTGTGAAAAACAATGCTGTAATGAAATTAAACAATTGTCAAACAAATGGCTGTAAAACCTGGTTTAATTAACCATTTTCTTAATTTTATAGGAAAATCCCTATACCAAGTCAGGAATATGACAGTTGTTTCCCATTCGTTCCGTTGGATGATAAAGTCTAACGTTTGATTCCTCTTTTTTTAATTAACATTGGAGTTCGGTATTTTTGTAATACCTTTTTTCAGAGTTTCCGATTGACAATTTACCTGTTTTGATATGATTTCAATCCATTTGAAAATATTGAATTTTACCTCGTGGAAGCCGTACTTACCAAAACAGTCCTTCAGTTTGTTGTGGTTTGTCCAAATGCCATTGTCCTGGCAAATCAAGAAATTTGGTAACGAAGAAAGAACAGAATATCCCTGAGAACACAAGGGGTGACAATAGCGACCACCAACCCATACATCACATGCAATGGCTCCATTATCCGGTGGTGTAAGATCTGGACAACCGTTAGATACTGAAATTTGATTGAAATTTTAAAATTCATTTCCAAACTGTTTTTACGTAAAGGTAATTTCAAAATCAAATAAACAAGCAGACATACTCAACTCTTGTTTGTCTTTATATACGTCTTATGAGGTTTTGAATCAAATGAAAATAAATACATTTCTGTCTTGTGTATCATAATTAAGGATTATACTTAGATAACCTGTAATAATCACAATGAACAGTAAAACCTGTTTCAAGAAACCACTTAAGGGAGAGGTGATCTTTACATACAGTTTAATCTATATGAAATGCACTACAGAGGGACCTAAAATTAATGTTCTTATAACACCGGTTTTTGCATAATACATGGGATTGTTATCTCTTGAGCAGGTTTAACTGCAAACAATCATCATGTTTTTATCAAATGACAGTAGCAAAAGAGGAAATCTTACATTCACAGAAGGGTTGGTAATCCATAGCCCATTTTGCGTAGGGATCTTCTCCATTTCTTTTGCAATAGGTATTTCTTTGACCGACTAAAACTGAGTTATCTTGACATGAAAAAGAACATTCAGAACCACGCCTTGTTCCTGTACAGTTTAACTTCATATAAGGAAGTGGATATAACTTAGGACATCTCAGTTCTGTAAAGAACAATATGAAATTAAAGTTTATCGTGTTAAAATGCAGAATAAACATGCGTGAAAGTTAATAAAATAAAGTACAAAAATATATTGTGTAAACTTAGATAAATGGAATATGAAATGTAAGTGGTTGAATCTCTGTTGGTCACATACAGAAAAGGGGTTATGATTTTTTTAGGTTTAGAGCTACAGATGTAATCTAGGACTGAAGATATAAAGTCCTGCGCTAAGCACAAGTAAACAAGGTAAAACAAGTGCTGAATATTTAAACTTCAGCGCTATGTATGTAAAGTCTAACGCTGAAAATGTAAATGCTTGAGATGTAATGTTAAAGTCGAAGAAGTAAACACCAGCGCTGAAGATATGAAGTCCAGTGAAGGATTTTTCATCCACATCGCTATTCTAGAAAAACCTTTCTCTGTATGGAAAAAGCATGGCTCCGTACTAAATATGCTATAATGTAATATGACTACTAGTAATAATTGATTATAGTTGAATTGAGAGAGAGAAAGAGAGAGAGAGAGAGATTGTTATATTTATACTTTTACAAATTGCTGATCGATAGCCAATCTTTTTATAACTTTGATATAGGTAGCCTTGGAAGAACCGAAAACTCCACTAAAACACAAAATTATAATGAATTAATATAAGAAAAAGTAAGTTATTTCTCACGTTTAATCACAATGTCAAATGAGCACTCCTCCCCTTCGTTGCCTGCTAAATCTTGAACTGTATACTTGATAGTATACGTATTAACTCCTTGTTCGGAGGCTGGTGGTGGACCTAATATTTGTGTAGGTTCCAATCCCTTGTCTTTATTGTCTACCACAACTGGTCTGTTCCAGAAGATAACGGCTGTGTCTTTGTTATTACCAGGATAGAACATTAAGGTATTTGGACATTGTTCTATGGAAGGTGGTTCAACGTCTACAAAATGAAAAAAAAAGAATTGAATCATATTATAATAAGGTTAAAGATAACTTGATCTTGTGTATATTGAAACACAGGTATTTAATGAGTGTATGTTGAAATACAGATATTTGATCGATGACAGATTCTTGATGACTGTATATTGAAACATCTGTAAACTGTATTTTTTGTGTTGTTTTTCTTTTCTTTTTAAAATTATTTGTTAATGTTTTGGAATACATCTTCAATAAACGTACATTATCGAAAAATATAAATTAATTCAAACGAGCTTTAGAGCAGAAAGGTAATCAAGATTTATCACGGTTCGGCATTGTGTTTATTTGTAATTCTATACATTTATTCGCATAACATAATGTCTGCTTGCTGGACAAATAGATGTATTCACTACATTATATTAGAGCATGGTATGCATTAAGGAAAAGCTTGTAGTTGATACCAAAAGAATTAACCTTTGAGTTCGCAAGGGCATTTTTCTTTCATAAATGTATTTAATGTTGTCATACCTTTTTATAAAACAGTTTGAAATGAAGAATTATTGACATGCACTTTATATATAATGGTCGAAATTATTACCAATTTTATACAAAACTTTCAACTGTCTAAGCAAATAATGATGTTCTATCCCAGGAATATATATAAGCCCTTCAGAATTTTGGGTCCTCATTGCTCCTCAATTTTGTACTTCGAGTTGGCTTTTCAACCTTTTTGTATTCGAGTGTCACTGATGAGTCTTATGTAGACAAAACGCGCGTCTGACGATGTGATGTTGATGTTGATGCTTGCTTTACGCCGCCTCAGCACAAATATTGCGGCGGCTGGTATATTCGATGAGATTTCTAGACTAGACAAGTGTTAAGTTCAAACATTTACCAACACAATCTGGATCGTATCCATTCCATGTCCCTGATGCCAGACACACTTTAGCTCTCCGTTGATTTGCAGGAATATCGAATCCTGCATCACATCCATATGTACAAGTAGATCTGAAGTAAAAATCTGCTGTACACGAAAAACTTAGCTGACCACGTTGTACAATTGGTGAACACTGTTTTTCTGTAAACATAGAATAACAAGTATGTAAATATAGATTCTACCACTGCATCGAATGTGATACGATATTTATCCACTCGAGAAAGTTAAATTTTCAAATTTAAAACGCGAGGCTTGCCGAGCGTTTTAAATATTTAAAATTTAACTGCCGAGAGTGGATAAATATCGTATTATACGAGATAAGGTGGTGGAATCTGTTTCTCTAATGATTTTTAAACAATACGCAGGCAAATTTATTCCTTCTTTTCGTATGATCTGCTTAAAGATGTGTTCTTTTTATGTGACGTCATCAGGCATGGTCGCCTTTTTTTCATGCCGTCACAATAGGAAATTCAGAGGAAAGCAAGAAAATTCGACGTCATAATCGAATTTTAACCAATGAAGAACTGAGATCAAACGATCCACACGTTGATTAAATTTTTTTTATACAATGGGTGCAGAAAGGGATAAATTGACGAAGAATTAGAGAAACTAGTATATATACATGTATTTACAGTAGGTGTTCAGTCATACAAATGCTGATCTTGTATAAGCTGAAGTACTAATCATGTGCTTCCGTCGTTTGCTTTCATTTCGTACAATGCAACACTTGCCGTATGAAAGCAACCTAAGACAATCGACTCACTAGCTCCGCCTATCTAATTAAAAAAACTTTTTTTTATTCTACATTCTCTCCCTTTCATCGTTAATTATTTCTGTTATATTTTACAAATAAAATTTTTGGATATTCCTTCAAAGATTTGTAAATATTTTAATGTCTTTGCTATAATAATACACATATGTTTTTTTTTTTTTAGAAACAGTATGTGATATATATCTTTTACCTATTTATGAAAAATCCCGGAAGGAACCGGAAAGAACTACAAATAGTGTTTTCCTGTATACGCCTTACTGACTGACACTTACTTTCACAATATGGCTCATTTTGACTTGACCATTGACCTGTTTCTAAACATTCTATTCTTGATGGTGCTCCCTTTAGTATATGTCCTTGGTAACAGCCATACCAACAGACTGTTCCTAATACCATATCACTGCTCGGATGACAGACTCTATATCCATCTGGTATGGTGCTCGAACGCACTGGACATCGTATGACTGGAAGAATACAACTCTTGATTCGTTAGAAATATTGAATAACAAAATAAAAAATTCCGATTCTAATTTTATTTTATCTAAGTTTATTTATGACAATTTACAATATAATCATATTTTAAAAGATGTGATATATGTTTTGTATGGTATTATGAAATGCCAAACATTCATTAACATATTATGTGCAAAATTTGAGATCATCCAGTATGATATCTTTTCCCTCTTTATATCAGTTGAGAATTTATTACAAAGACAATAAAAAATTCCCCCTTCTATCCTCCCTTTCACCTCCGATAAAGGAGCACAGTTGGTTCCTGTAGGAATGCCAACTTCTGTGGAAAAACAAGACCACCAAATGAAACAGATGTAGACTTTGAATCATATTTTTTATATAATATATCCTTTCTCAAAAACAAGATATATTTTAATCTACGTTGGTTATTTGTATCAAATAAAGTTTGGCAAATTCTTTCACTCTGCCTTGAATAAGTTTAGAAAAGTTAATTGTTTGGGACTATCTTAATTTACACTCTATACTATGAAATACATATGGTATGTTGTATCTTTCCTTCTCTGTCTTTTTTTCTTGATAAAAAGTTTAGCTGAGCAGCTGCTGTCTAAGCATATTTCACAATTTTCATAATAGAACGATATTTTGTGATCTGCTTGGTTGGGATTTTTTAAACTACAACATATATATATGTGTACCTTTGACATAAATGTTAAAGTTGCATGTTGCCATATTGCCTGCTTGATCTCGAGCATAATAGCCAACTGTAGTGGGTCTACCATCTCGTTCAAAAAATGGACCACCCGATCTATAAGGCCCATTCATATGAACGCTGTGAAATACAGAAAATGTAATTTAGCTTTTTTTATAGTTTTATAATAGTTAATTTATATTGGTTGATAATTGGTGTTTAACGCCACTTTCAACATTATTGTGCTATTTCGTGGCGGTAAATCTTTATTGATGGACGAAGCCGGAGTGCCCGGAGAGAACCACTGATCTTCGGTAGGAAAACTGAAAATCCTAGTCAATTAAGATTCAGTTAACTTAAATGTGTGGCGTCAGTCAGGATAAGTATGCTAAACAACAAGAAACACAGATGCATAAAATTGCCATTCTTTGGGAACTGTATCGTTCGTATTTTGTATCATTAACTAACAAAATATGCGAAGTTTTAATTTTTACCAACTGATAATGGAAAAACAGTTCGCTTAAGAATTGTTTTTACATTAATCAACGTAAGATATAACCCGTAATTTTGTTATTCCGACAGATCCTTGCATTTCGTTAATTGTATTGAATGAACAGATATATGGGACGAAAAATTTTGCTGAATTTTAATTCTTTTCTTGTTTTATATATCTCCGGTGGGAACGTGATCGATTTAATTGCAAAAGGAACGTTCAGATCTGTAAAAACTTGAAAATACAAAAATGTACTTGTATTGAAACATATATGGTAGCTACAAAGTAGGCCTATATAACATAAGTTTACAAAAACGAATATTCGGTGTTAGAATAATTTACCGTGAGTACTAGATTATCATTAATATCATTAGATGAGAATTTATTAAATTTATGTAATATAAAATGACCAATTCCGAAGAATAAATGATACGTTGTTAACACAAGCAAGATTTCGACAGGTTATCATGACTGCAAAGAAATGTAATGTTTATTTCAATTAGACTTCCAAGCTAAACAGTTAATGAGTTCGGCCAGTGTGTTTTAGTACCTAATTTGTCCGTCTCTGTTATCCCATGCTGAAGGAGGTGTCCAGTCAACAAAGGCATGGAGCTGAATTGGAATAGCTGTTACTGTTCTGTCAGGTGGACAATTTCTTATCTGTGGTCTAGTTGTATCTCCTGAAAAATAATAAAAACTATTTAAGAAAGGCCTTACCTAAAATACCATTATTATCAGCGTGAGTGATCAGCATATATTTTTTTTTAAAACCTAACTTAACTTTATATGATAACAAAAAAAAGAAATGCAATGAAAACAGATGTCTTTAACATTTTACGATTCCAGTGAAGTATTCATATTGAGTATTGAATGGATTGATATTTTGTGTACAATCATCTTTTTGCAGGCGGAAATTTGGATATTGCGGAAGCGTCACAACTTTAATATTTTTGAATATATATCTTACAGTTAACTTTCATTTCTACTAACGATGTAAAACTATGATACTGAAATATTTATAATTTAAAAGCAAGATCTACAATCCAAGGCAACTTAAAATTAAAATACTAGAAATGTTATCCTCGAACATGGATACACACACACACGCCCACACACACACATTTCGAAGTTAACAACATTCTACTGTTCTTTTTATTAGTATCATATTTTAAATTTGATGCAGGACCATAACTTATTTTCATTTAACTTTTCAAAACTTTTTTTTTTGAAGTTAAAAGAACTTAGTAAAGAAAAATTAACTAACTTGGTCTTGGTCTAGGATTACTGAATATACTGCTAACAAATCTGGCAACAAATCTGACAATTAATCCAAGGAAGAAAAAACGTTTTCTTCTTTTTAAAGGTTTTGCTAGCTCTTTGGTAATTGTTGAAGAACCTAATAATGAATAAATTAATGATTCATAAATTGATAAAAACTGAAAAATATTGGCTATTTGTAACTTTTAATATTCTAAATACATATTTAATTTTATGAGCTACCATTTCATGTATTTTAAGGTACTTGACATGTACATTTTCAAAGATATTCAAAGTTCTTACTTTAAAAATTAAGTGATTATATTGCAAAAAACACATTTCGTGATGATAGCTCATGCGTTTTCTTTCCTTTTATGTATAGCAGTCTGCTTGCTTCATCGAAGCCCAAAAATAATGTGACATCAGAAGAATTTTAAAAAAAAATTTTGCAACAAACCGCATTCTGCATGTCACGGCCGACTCTTTTTTTTTTTTTTCTGTTAGAAATAAATAAATGAATGCTTACATTCTTTATCTTCTACTGTCCATTGGCCGCTCTGGCAAAAAGCCCAAGAAAATTCTCTTGTAGATTTGCATTTAACTGTCAATGTGGTTCCATGAGGAATAAAATCTTTCACAGCAGGGTAAGTTTGTCGAACATGAAAATGTTTTGTCAATGCAGATACCGGACACTGTAATTATACACACGAAAATGTTCTTTCAAGGCAGATATGAGACGCTTTAAACATACATACCCATTTCTAGAATAAAAATAAACTCCAAGTACTCGCAAAGCGGTTTGTGTTGTAATGGTATTATTTATTTTTGGAGTGTTAAAAATTCTTTAGAGGTTTTAGATAAAATATGTGCTTTTGATGGTCCTATAAATTCTGTTAACAGTTATGATTTTTCTACTGTCTACACTACACTTCCACGCAAGAAAAAGTTTTCATATTTAATTAGATGGTCTTCTGAAAAATCTCATTGCAAATTTATTTGCTGTAACTCGTTTAAAGCCCTTTTCTGTAACGAAAAATGAAAGTATGCTAGGTACACTTACTGGAAATGTGAATATATAATTGAAGCTTTAAATTTTCTCCTGGACAACATATATGTATGTTTCGGCGATAAAGTGTATCGACAGGTAGTAGGTATTCTTATGGGCACTAATAGCGCCCCTTTAATAGCATATGTATATCTATATTGCTATGAATCACAGTTTATGGCCAAAATCAGTAAAGACTCGTCATTGTTACATTTGGTTGACACATTCAACAATACCTACCGTTATCTTGATGATATTTTTTCGTTAAATAATCCAGAGTTCTCTAAATATATTACCGAACTTTACCCAAAGGAACTTACTTTAAATAAATCTAACATAAACAGCAGTACTTGTCTTTTTCTAAATTTAGACATTTCAATTTCTAAAGGGAAACTCCATACAAAAATTTATGACAAAAGAGACGATTTTTCATTCCCTATTGTTAATTTTCCTTTTTTAGACGGCGATGTTCCTTTGGCTCCATCATACGGTGTTTATATATCCCAACTCGTTCGTTATGCCCGTGTGTGTAGTGATGTCATATATTTTAACAAACGTAATCAATGTATCATTGGTTAATTATTAAGACACATCTACGTCTATATTTTTATTTAGAATTGTTTTATCTATATATAACATCATACATATTTATTATAAGGTTAAATCCTAACTATCCTACCGCCTGTCGTTACTTTTATTTTGGTATTGCACAAGTCATGTCTTCTTTGACTGTCTATGGCGTTAAAACACTAAATCCCTGCCTGGAATGTGTTTTAATTGATTTTAGTATCTGATGCATGATTTTTTATGATTAATTGTTTTTGGCTTTTAACTAGATTTCAGTAACTGCGAGTACTCTCAAATCGTACTTTTGTGTTAATTTGACCTGTTGACACAATTTATAATGCATTTCTGTTATTCAATGTTAACTTATTTTATGTTATATCTCGTCTTACTATTTTTAATATGTACCACCTTTGATAAGTATTTAGTATGACGATAAATTTTCACTTCTGTACTCGTATTGTGAACAACAAAAAATTTGGTAAAAAATGTTTCTGTACTCCTTACAACAAAATTATTATATTTAAATTTACCTGTATACGTTATTTTATTTAACGCCATTTTGTCCTAGGTTAAAGATGTCTTTCTGACATTGATAAATCTTTTTTTATTTATATTGTATTTATATTGTGTCATAGATCAAACTTATTCGTTCAGTGTATAGATATAAGACGATGTGGTATGAGTGCAAATGAGACAACTCTCCATCCAAGTCACAATTTGTAAAAGTAAACCATTATAGGTCAAAGTACGGCATTCAACATGAAGCCTTTGCTCACACAGAACCACAAGCTATAAAGGCCCCCAAAAATGACTAGTGTAAAACCATTCAATAAATAACTTTTCCCCTATTTTCAGGTAAGTACATTTAATTTTGTATTTTAACGCATGTTTTCTGTATCGAATTCACAGTTCAAATTCCAAGGAAACTGCAAGTTAACAATTGAAATAAATGTAATATGTATTTTCAATGAGAATAAAAGTTGGTTTGCAACATATTATCGTCACAATATCTACGTCTTATTTAGAGTAACCTAAGTGGCCAATGAGGCAATTTCCATCAGAGACCAAAGGACGTACAATTTAGCAAATATAAATCACAATATGGCCTTCGACCTTGAGAAACACCCACATCGCATAGCAAGCTATAAAAGGTCCCAAAATGACAAATGTAAAACAGTTCAAACAAGAAAACTAACGGCCTGATTTATGTACAAAACAAAAAACGAAAAACAAATATGATATAATCCAACAAAAGACAACCACTATATTACAGGCTCCTGGATTCGGGACTGGCACATAGATAATGGCGGGGTTAAACGTGTTGGCGCCACCAAAAAAAGTGGTGTAACAGCACAACATAAGAACAAACCACGAATTTGCATCCCTTCGTCTCGCATTCCGACGAGACCAAAATACCAATGTAAATTTTGAGATTAAACATGATACTAATAATTCCAATTCACATACATCCAATTTCTGTTTTCTCGTTTCTTTTATTTTAAGATGGTATACGATATAGTTATATTATATCATTGGCGGATCCAGGGGACGTAGAGGGCGTACGCCCCCTTTATTGGCCAAAAAATATTATTAAATTATGCTTTTCACGATTTATTTATGTTTTTTAGCATAAAATCGTCCCAAATTTTTTAAATTGACAATTATAAACTTGACCAATGTCAATAAAATGTAAAACATTTGTCAATGTATGATAATCATTATACAATGAAGAAATAAAAGAACCGTTAATTTATAAAATTATGAATAAAATAATCATTATAATTGCATTTTCTGGATGGCCTTAGACTATTATACAAGTTTATACTTAGTATGATAGTTACAAAAAGGGGTAAACAGATTTTTATCGCATGATTGTTGTGTTACTTTGAGCCGCACGAAAATTCATGAATACACATTTGTCTTCTTCTCTTGCTTTATAATGAACATTCAGAATATTTTTTTCAGACAATCATAGGAAAGATTACACCCCGTAGGTAGATTGGAATATTTATTAAGATAACCATTCTGTTGTCCAAGAAAATCACATATCAAATGTGCGTCCTTCAACTTTTAAGGCCGTATAAATACACTATACAAGTTTGAGCACTTAAATTTACATAAATTATATAAAAAGTGTATAGAGAGCTTAAACCTCAAATTGCGTTACAAACTTCGTTTCTTTGTATTTCGCCGTAAAAGTATTCGTTTTCATACAAAGCAAAATTAAAATTACTTTTTTTCCAATTAGGCAGGAATTCAAGTGTTTTCGGATTCCGATAAATTAAAGTTGTCCTCGAAAAGAAACCGTTTTCCAACGGGCCGTTAAACGACATATTTTAATTTATGTTATACGATTATGCATTATTTTCTTTGACAAAACCGGGCCCTGTTTTGTGAAATTAGATAACGAAACCGGGTCGTACACATTGACAAAACCGGGTCCGTCAACTTTGACAGGACCACTTTCTTTCGTTTCAAGCACATTATTACAGCCATTGAGGTGCTCAAAGTGACTAGTCTTGCAATCTCCATGTTAATATCTTTCTTTTCGTACCTTTCTTTCCGTACAATGTGCACAATTTAACGAGAAATTAAGGTTCATATTTACACTTTGATTCCAAAATGGCTACCACATTTCAATTAATTTTGATGCAATATTTACTTTGTAATGGCAAAACATAAAGATATAATTTCCCAGTTTGAAATTAAACAACAAAAATTTATTTATATAAATTCTTTTCTTATTTCATGTAAACTTTGTAAAAATTTGTTCCTTGCCACAAAAAAACACGAAAGAAAATGTTAAGAAATAAGGGACACAGGAGACAGAAAGAAAATAACAAAAACGTGTTTTTTGTGTTCATATGTTGTTGCTGCCAGCAATTAAGTTGTACCTACTGTAATCGGTTATGCCTGAATTCGAAACTTTTCCAGCAATGTTTTAGAATATGGGCGCCGCCATGTTGTAACTCGCCACTACAATTTTACACTGTTTTTACTCGATATATTTTCCATTATCCGGCTATATAAGTTTACTAGGCAATTATTTCTGTCGAAAATTTTCCTTACGTTTAATAATTTCACGATCAGTTTCATCCTTAGTTAACCATTGCCCTCATAATATCATTGTTTACACTTTGTTTCTGTTCGCCATCGTTCTTCATCTCACCAAATAAAATCATTTCATACGCATTTTTTAGTAAGTCATAAAAAATTATTAAAATTTTCTGAAATTTGTCAACAACAATTGAAATAAAGTTTTTAAAATCAATTTATGGTTAAACGATCATACAATATTTAAATATTCTATCAAACCAACTGGGACTATTTTCTTTGTAGGTACTTCCGGTTTGCACAGGAAGATGCTGTTAGGCTGATCTTTGATATTTTATACCGATCCCCTATTAAACCCTACTTTCTGTTTCTTGATCGTTGATCACTGGTGTTGTTTTCATTATTGCAAATGATAAAAAACACTTTTTTTTTGTTTTAATGTACAGATTATGCCTTTTGGCACTTATATCAATACAAAAATGTCTTTGTTTGAAAAAGATGTTTGTTTATTCGTCTTAAATTGTGTTACCATTTTATGGAACACAGAAGGAAATAAGCCAAGGTCATTTCTACATAGTTTTTTATATTATATACAAATTGTTGAATATTCGCTGTTTATTATGGCTGTCACAAGGAGGGAAAGGTAGGAAATCATCTACAAAGTTTGGAATGGCATCGGGACGCTACAGAAAACAAAGAATAGATGGGAAATACACCAGTGGCAGACAAAAATTTGTGTATAAATGCTCATCATCAGACGGAACTAAAGTCACACTTACTAGAACTTTCATTCACTCATATTACAACAAAAAAACAACCCTAAATTTATTGAGATTGAATAAAGGTATCGTGTTTATCATGACCGTGAAGGTTTGAAGAAAACTGCAAACAACGTTGCTTCAACAGGTTATAGATTGATAAATTTGACTTGTCTACAAGAACACTACAACGAGATAGCTAAACATGCAATTTTCTGTAAAATTGCTCGGGATATAGCTGTAAGAGGTTGAGAGCCAGTTGAGATAC